ATAGCATTTTTAATGGCTACAGTAACCAATTTTTGGTTGCGTTAGTCTATCGAAATCGTATATTGACATTACGGATAGTTACCGCAATAAAAAATTGGTTGTTGTAGCCAATTAAAAATGCTATTTTATAATCTAATTTTCTGTAGCAGCCGATCTCTTTCAGTGTAAGATACTCTAATCAAGTCTCGTTAAATTATATTAAATCCCTTAATTATACTTTTATATTTATATTGGAGATATATCAGAGATATTTTAGCTCGATATCTTTGTACTCGATAATCATTGCATGGAATATATATCTTCTTGATCTTACAACAAGTAATCCTACGTGCAAATATTACGAGTTTAATATCGCATCATTGCCATAATCGTGAACATCCTTGCATCATAGACAAGTGTTAGTACAGCGATATTTTAATTCCAATATCACATCACGTTTCGTTCACACTTGGTAATACAAAACTCAATATTCACCTCTTATAAAAAATTACATAAACATTACATTGTTTATAATTACTCAGGAATAATATTATTTTTTATTTCTTAAAACGCAAAATTTTACTTTAAATCTTGCGTTTTAATTTAAATCTTTTTTTATTATATGTATGTAATGTTAAGTATATCTTATTTATCATAAAATTTATTCTCTTTTAAAATTTTTAATTATTTACATAAATAAGGAAAAAGAAACTTTAGTTATATACATGCTTCTGTTATCTATTTTATTCTTCTTGTATATTTTCCAAAGTTCTATAATTTAATATTATCTGTATTTTTTCTCTAAATCTTTTTCTTTCGCTTGTAAATCCAACGAGAGACTATGTATTTTAAGATATAGTTTAAATAATAACCTTTCTGTTTAATTTTTTACAATCCTATTTAATATAATCTGTATTTTTTTCTCTACACCTTGTTGTTTATCTTACATCCAAGAGACTATTTAAAGATAAACTTTAAATAACTTGTATACAGCTTGTTTAATGGTAAGAGAAAATATCTTCCCCCGATATATCGAAGTTAAACACTTCCAAGACAATCTACGTAAGCAACTCTCGATCGACAAGTATTTGAAACTCCTTTGCTCGTGCTTCGTTCATTTTCGTCCGTCGTTCCGTCATACAATTTCAAATCAAACGACGGAAGAACGTTGCGCAATCTCCGCAAACGCGTCGTTCCGCACGAGATACTATCTCGCGGATGGTATTCCTGCCCGTAAATTCCTCGCGTCATCCCCAGGTGTGTGTTCTCGTTGCAGCCGAAGGATGAGGATCCATTCTACACGGGCTGCCACACCACGAAGAACTGCTTCGGCGCGCCCGCAGATTGCATAAAAACCAAGGACTGCATCGCCGTGGTGGCCGTGATCGTGCAAGGTGACGAATATCATTTCGAGATGCAGGCGCAAAAGGGTGCCAAATTCGTCGCTGTCGGCCTGTCGGATGATAAGAATATGGTAATCGAGACGCTGCGCTCGCAAGCATTCCGCGTAGCTTCTTCTCAAACTCCTGTGCGATTTAAGTGCGGAAACTTGCAAAGAAAAAAAAAAATCTCGGCGAAAGTATTTTATATTTAATGTGTGAAGTTACTTTTCGCTGCCTCCACTCCTCCCCCGTTTTCTACCGGGCTCCTCGAGATTTCGATTATCTTGCTGCGACATTTGTCTGTCCTCTTTTAATACCTTTCTTCAATGTAACTGCTTTTGAAAAAAATTTACTAAAATTTTATAGATTTGGAGAACTATTACGTCTTTTCCTTTGAGAGGTATTAATTGCAAAATATTAACTACATCGTTTACGCATAATAAATATATCTCAACTAATTGAATAATTTTAATAATATTAATTATATTTTAATCTTTTAATTCACATTTATATGTAGTTATTACTCAGATGCTATTAGATTTCTTTATCACTCCGACTGGTTTATTTAACGTCGGACGTAATATTTACTCGGCAATTAACCATCAAATCAATCATCAAAATTAATGTGACATATTTGTAATTAATTACGTACGCAATTTGTGGGATCAACAATTAAGTGATAATGGTAATAATAAGCAAAATTGTACGCAGGGTGAAGACAGCGTAGTTGAGTGCACGAACGAGAATGGTGAAATTGCGTTATACACATCTTGGAATTCTGGAAAGCGCAATGCGCGCTATAGACTGGTGAGTATCGTTTACTATGCACCGCCCTTCGACTAGATGCACTGTTGCTTTAATTAATTCACCCTGTGCTCTGTCGCGCGCGAGCAACGAGTCTGGCCCATTAAATCCCAATTATTGTACTAGCCGTAGCCGACGGTGTCGCTCCCGCTACGATAATGCTGTAAATCTTTAAACCCTACAAATAATTACGAAGCTCATAAGGGGCATATAAGGGGCATTTCCTTCCGTCACTCGCTATAAACTCACCCATTAACAGTTTGACCTGAAATTTTACCGCATATCATCCGTTGGAAATAGCATATTAACGGATTAGCTAATTTTAACAAAATTTTAACAAAAAAATTCGAATTTCAAGTTTTAAATCATGAAAAAAATTTAAATACTAAAAATGTATTAAATATAAACGCTTGAAATTTATATTAATTAAATTTCTTGCTAAAACCGATTCCAAATTGATCGAAGAATATCTCTAAAGTATTTTAAAATCATCTCATATGTATCGAGCGAATTATTCTAACTTACGTAATTCTCCAAATTCGCGTCTAATTTTGCTCTGTTCACGATTCATCCACAGTCGGAAGGCGCGGTCGAGTTGGAGAGTGCTGCGATCAAAAATGATATGATACATTGCAAGTTTCGACGGGACAAGCGTACCAGCATTCAAGGACATACGTATGACCTTGTCACCACTCCGTACCATCTCCTCGTGGCGGCTGGCACAAATCTAAAATGTATGTATAAGCTGAATATATAATATATTTCAAGTCGAAATTTTGCTCCTACTTTGAACCGTAGTTTTAGGATGTATGTAGGCTTTAAAGATTTATAATTACGTATAAGGACGTAGGTTCTAGAGATTTATAATAGATTCTAATCTAATAAATTGAGTTTCTATATCGAGTAAATGGCATTTATTGGAAAAATTTCTTACTTTTAGGTTCAAAAGACGTTTTCTAAATAGAAGCTGTGGATTAAGTATTATTATATTAAAAGAGAAGTCCTATTTGATTGTTTAAGTATAAAAACAGATTTATAAGATTTAATTGAAGTTAAAAGAGATTCAATGTAAGACTAAAAACTCGGGTAGAATGTACAATTTCATCGTTACAAAAATTTACTGGGAAATTATAGATGCGGGGTAATTGTTGCTAATTACTTAATCAGAGATATAGTTTTGCGACTTAACGACCGCGGTAATATCAGATTTATAAAGTAATGATTTATCGTCGCACTTCTTTAAATAAAGAAAGAAAAGAAATCTTGACGGACTTCGCAAAGTTCACTTCACGTGTATTTTTGCCAAGAGCAAAGTGTGTAAGAACTTTACGACTTTCTCGATGCAGACAGGTTGGGATAACTGCAAATTTGATAGCTTCCTCATGTTTATGCTCAAGATAACAGGAATTTGAATGAAATGCGATTCGGGTAGATCGGCTTTTGGAATTCTTATTCGCGCGATGATTATTGGATTGATTAAAAGTAATGTTATACAAAAAGCCTGTATGTAAGATACAAGAAATTTACCTCTATTTTATTTTTATACGAATGATTTACGTCATTTATGGATATTGCGTTGCTGCTTTATTCTTTTTTAGCAAATGGCGTTGACTTTCACGATCTTATCTATCTTGGGACCAGCACCTCAAAAAGATTATCTGACGTCGGGGAATGGACTGCAGCCTCTGACCTACTGATTCGTCTTCATGGTGCACTTATGTTGGCATCGTGGATCGGCACGGCTTCCATCGGGATGTTACTCGCAAGATATTATAGACAGACCTGGGTCAACTCCCAGTTATGTGGAAAGGATCACTGGTTCGTTGTAAGTACAGAATTTTCAGGCTAGCATAGATATTCTATTTAAAAATATTATTTCTCATATCCTTTTTCCAAAATTATATTTTTCTATATATTCCCGTTGGATATTGCAATTATAGAACGTAAAATAAAAATGCCTGTTATTATAATAAACTTAGCTAACTCCTTTTGTTATGTTAAATTGTCGTGCATTAATTTTGCAATAATTTTGTAAAAATTGTTTCTGTAAATAAATTTATATAAACTTTTAAATTTATTTTATAAGTAAATTTAAATTATTTTAAACTTTAATATACAATATTTAAATGTACTGTAATATATATTTTAATATAAATTATAATATTTAAATGTAATTAAATATTGTATTTACCCGATTTTAAATGACTACTTTTAACAGCTATTATTTAAAAATTTCATCAGTTAGATCAATTTATTTCTATTAAAGAGTAAAGAACTATTTTTATTTCAGGCAAATTAAATTTCAAATAAAATTTTTATCAAAATAAATTAATAAAATAATTAAACATTGTATATTATTATTATCTATACATTTTGAATATTAATTTCTTCATAATATATTTTATTTAATAAAAAATTTTACAATAATATCAAGTCACATGCAAAAAATGAACGATATTATCTTATTATCTTATTTCTTCTATCGTATCGCGTTTATATAGTATCGCGTTTTATTCTGTGTGATATCATTAACTTTACGTTACTTGAATATCTAGCTCTAGTTACTTGAATTGCTAACAAAGTACTATTCTTCAATGTTCGAAGCGTATGTTATTAACGTTCAAATCACGCAAAAGAAAAGCGTCAGACGTCGTCTTTTTCGGATGTCTTTCTTTGTAATAAAGGCCTATCAATTTTTCCCTAAGTGGCATAGATTCTTTATGGTGCTCACGTGGTCGATGACGATCGCAGCCTTCGTAATAATATTCGTGGAATTGGGTACGTGGAGTTCCGAGACGATACATGCTTCGGTCGGCTTGGCAACCACAATTCTGTGCTTTATCCAGCCTTTCATGGCAGCTATGAGACCACATCCTGGCGCACCACGAAGAGTTCTTTTCAATTGGGCTCACTGGTTCGTCGGTAACGTGGCAAAAATATGTGCTTGTAAGTTTATAAATACAGCAATAAATAAACTTTTATTTTTTTATATTAAATTTTTCTTTTATGATTTACTGTTATTTGAAGAATTTTTCTTACAATTTTCTAGTTTCTATTCTTGTAATTTCTTTACAGTATAAAAATTATTGCAGCAGGTAATAAAATAGAATGGAAACTTTTGTCTACTTCAATTTCTTATTATTTGATATGATAATAAAAGATAATAAATAATAATTTAATACTAAATACATTTTTTTTCAAGTATTTACGAAATAAGTTAATATTTAGTGTTAATTTTTCATAAAATTTTGTTTTAGTAATCGCGCTTTTCTTCGCGGTACGACTGAACAAGGCTAAACTTCCAGATTGGGTTGATTGGATCCTCACAGCATTTGTAATCTTCCATGTTTTAACTCACCTCATTCTTACAGTAAGGATTTTTTATTTACCAAGTTTACGCAAAAAAAATTCTGGACATTTCGAGAAGAAATTATCGCAAAAGAATTTAATTGAACAATTTATTAATGCAAACGTGTAACAATTACAATTTCGACACTAGATCTAAATCAATTAATATCAAATTTTGTTAAATTATTTGTATTTTCATAAAGAAAATAAAAATGATATAAAAATTGAATTTTATGCAATGTCTTGGAAAAGACTAAGTAATGAGATACTTAATGGAATTTGTGTCAATGTCGAATAATAATCACCTTACTCAAGACTTAATTCTTGTGGTATTTGTGACATTTTTGCTTCTATTGCAGTTCCTTGGATGTGCCTCTGACAGACAAGCTAGTCAGAGAGTGAATTCATTCCCAATGAAAGACATGCATTCTCGTGGATCAATGGTGCATCCAGATGCGAGACGAGACGCTCCCGTAAGATTTTCTAAAATAAAAGTGACGTGATCAAGTCGTCTTCTAACGCGTGTCGATCCGTGAGACCTTAATAAAATTGACAATGAGACGTAGATAAACGAAAGAAATGATATTGTTAATAAATTGCATTTTTATATATATTCTTTATAAACATTATAAAGTCTATGGCGAAATCCGCATTCTATAACGTAATAAGAAGCACACTCCACGCGTTAAAGGACAATCGATATTTTATAATTACAAATATAATTATAAATTAGAAAATTACATACATCTTTATAAATAAAATTATTCGAACAATTTTAAAAAATTTGATTTGTTTTGATTGAAACAAAATGCAAGAAAATTCGAAGGACATATAGAATGTAAATATCTTGTCTTTTAAGTGGAAAGCAATAAATTGTATAAATTAATCAATTCTGGTTATTATATTAATGTTGATAAATGGTATCGCGTCAAAAAATAATCTATTATACAAACAAATATCAGGACGCAAACAAAGTCTCATTTTGAATATTTTCCCGACAGCACTCCGGTATGCGGAAATTCATTTTCGGTGTGTACTTTGTGGTTATCGTCGTGTTCGCCGCAGTTCTCATAGTGATCACCGTGTTGGCACCCATCGAGGAAACGTGGGCCACCTTTACCGACACTATCTCGAATTACTAAGGCCGCTAATCAACGCTATGGAAATATTCGTCACCACCGCGATACTCGTACGGAAGATTCCGACCATGCAGATGGGGAACGTCGCAGCCGTCGCAGTGACGATATATTCCCGGTGCGACTTTCTGTATGCAAATTAACACGAGGAACATATAAATCCTATTCGTGTAAAGATGCAAATCGCGTCGCGTCAAGTGCAAAGACGAAGATATCGTTGAAGATGATTTTTATATCCTTTTCCTAGATTTCTCTGGAAGAATCATCTCCATTGATTATGCATCGATATATCATAATTGAAATACGTTTCTGTATATATAACATTTTTCACTAGTAGATGTTATGCTTAATACTTACATTGTTCATTACATCATTATTATTAAATGAACAAATATTCTACGAATATTATACAGAATTTTTACTATCTTTCTGTTAATATCCTAATAAATTTGACTACAAGATTTTTGTAGAAAACTGCCATTATATCCAAATTAGCAGAAATTATATTTTTTAGGATCTTCTTGTATAAAAATTATTTTTATACATCGAAGTCTAATATTCCGTATCTTTCCATAAATAACGCAGCTAATATATATATCATGTTGCCTTTAATGATAGTACTAGACGTATTAAATACGTAATTGACAGCATATTCTTAAGATAGACACATCATAACTTGTTAAATGTTTGTATAATACAATAATTATTACGATATTAACATCCATAATTTTTTAATATGAAAAATGTATTTAAGGCATTTGCAATGTTTTGTAATAATTTTTGTATCTACAAGAAAAGCGACTTGCGTACAATAATGTAATTTTTATTAACTTGCGATTATACACAGTAACATGATAAACATAAAGATATAAATTTATTTCACAAAAACATTATAAATTGATGTATTCATCATTTGAAACAAATGTTATATCGATATATATGTTAAAAAAATATAACTATTTTTAAAAGCTAGAAGATAAAAATATTATATGTTTATATTTATATTAAAGTTAAATTAATATTAATTGTTAAAGAGTAAAAATAATTAATGATTTCATCGATTTTTTGCGCTAATATTGTTCAATTAAAATTTTGCAATTCAATCTATTTTATTTTTTAAATAGTGCTGATTTCCGAGAAATCACATTTATGCCATTTTAACCTGAATGTAAAATTTAATTTTTATTTTATTGTTGACTAAAAAATTTGAGAAAGATCGATGGAAACGCATGAATTTTTTTTATAAACATTTATATTAACGTTTATATTAACGATTGCAGCTACATCACAAAGTTCGATGATTTTTTTAAATGAATTGTGCTCTTCTATTCTTTTACATAATACTTATTTATTATGTAATTTACAGTATTAGTTTTTTCAAGTGTACTTTGCAAACTTTTATACTTATTGAGTATCTGTCGCGTCGCGACAGATTGCGATCGATATTGCCAATAGTACATAACATTGTTAGCTTTATTGATTGTTAATAAATATATACATATATATATGTAGACTCTGGATTCAATGGCCATAAGATGGATTACGGTCGTGTTTATCATGTTTCCGGAAATAAATTGATAATCTAGCAGTATACAGAGTGTTCATGAAAAGCGCGTAACATAATGGAGTTGCAAAGTATGCAAAATTTGTTTATTTTATAATTGCTAGAAAAATTTGAGTCTTAGTAGCTTATTGGTATAGCTTATTAATACAACTAAAATAATTTTTAGGTACACTAACTACGTTAATCTTTTTAGTGTTTTGTATCGTAAATATGTATATGTATTGAATAATACATTATATTGTATCAAGATCGAGTTATTACAGCATATACTCGCGGAATAAAATAAAGATAACATCTGTGTTAAAAAGTAAATCTTTAATGATAAAGTTAATAACACAATCAACTAAATAGACTTGCAACAGATTTGCGTAACAAGCAGGACCGAACTGATTCCCTCTTCCCACTGTTTATTCGTTACCTCAGGGATATTTATTTATTGCCTCAGAGATGATTGAATAGTAAAACTATGAGCTTTCTCGTTATTGATTTTTGGCTCTGATACAACGATATGATACCGCATACACCACAGAACCTTTTAGCTGTATCACAAATTGCAATGTAACATTGCAGATACTTCCAAGAAAAGCAAAAAAATACAAAATTTTAACAAGATGACTACAACATTGGAATAATGTTTTAAAATGTAAAAATATAATAAAGTAATTATAAAATATAATATTAAACAACCTATCAAATGGTAATATAGGAAGATATCGTAAATATAAAAAAATATAATTTTTTTACGATATTTTAATAATGTTGTAGCAGTATTGTGCAATATAATTGTAATATTCCAATCTGGCAGTAATACTTATATTCACCTTATTCTATACTGAGAGGAATGTTTTGATAAGTATAACCATTTTTGTTGATATGTAAATAACAAAAACTTTCTTTCTTTTTTATTAAAAAATTATGTTATTTTAATCAATCATTTAGTTTTAATTAGAACAACACAATTTTTTTAATAAAAAAGTGAGTAAGTTTTATTAGTCACATATTAATAAAATAAACGGTTATACCATTTCTTGAATATATCTCTATCCTATATTTATCTAATATCTATGTCTATTAATATCTTTGTTTATTGTGCTACGAAACAAAATGATAATTTAATAAATTATTAAATGAAATTGTTATTTTATCGAGTGAGTCTTGTTGCAAGATTTTGGGAGGATTACTCCTTCTTTTATTATCCCTCTGGAATCATTCATTTATCGTCAGTATCTTGCAGAATAGGTTACGTTGAACACGATTAAGTATGAGGTGTCGCTGTTAACTGGATTACGTGAAACTTGAGTTTTCTAAAGTAATAAAGGGGAGCTCTCCAGTAAACTGATGAAATTCATAGCATTATATATTGGGTGTTGTAAATGAACCGGACAACTAAAGAACATGATCGAGGTTCAGCGCAAAAATAAATCTTTAAATACATAATAAATTTATCGCTGTCTTTATTGATATATGACTGATTTTTATTCTCATACGTTATTTTTAGATAAATTTTTTTAAACACATTGTGGTTGTAAATATATATACGCAATAACTAATTTAAAAAACATAGTTTTAAATTAAAGCAAAACTCTAACGGATAATAAATTTATTATTGATCGCTGCATGTACATGTAATATAAAAAAATTGTATAATAAATATTAGTATATATTGATTTGTATACGTGTGGGTGTGCTACAAATTAAACTTTTATTTAAAAAGATTAATATGTATACACAAATCATTCAGTACATTTTGCTGGAATTTATCTTCATTTAATTTTGTGTTTATTTTGTATTTAATCATATGATAAGATAATGTATTAATTTTTTATGTTTGTTTTTAATATGTGCGATATTGCAAATAGCAAACTATAGCGAATTAATGAACGTGTGAAGCAAAAACGTACTGTGTATTGATAAAGTAAAATTTATGACAATAAACGCTCTCGTTTTATTGATTTTTGGCTATAGGCCAACTTTCAAACTAGCTATGACGAACAATTCAGTGATAACATTCCGATAATAGTCAGACTCACCTGACGTTAACCAATCAACAAAGCCTGAAGCTGTTACGCAGGACTGTATACGTGCTTATTCAGAACCCTGACAAATGTCAAGCGGGAGTAAGATAACGAATTGCTAATTTTTTTAGTAACGAGCCGATATTAAATTCATTAAATGCTTTAGATAATAACAAATCATCTCTTATAGTTTGATTTCCAATATGTCCACAAAAATAGATGATATAATAAAAAATATGTTTAGATGTACTTATATGTAATTTTTTGATGTTTATAAAAAATGACTATTGTAATAAATACTATTAAATACTTTCATTTTCTTTATAAAGTCACAGTATAGTATAACAAAATGACGAAATATTCGTGCATGTAGATTGTATTTACTAATGTGCATTGTAAATGTGACTACAAATTAATACTTCGGTATTGAATACCTGTGTAAATAAATCTCATCGTATATAATTCACTAATCTTTTTCTTTTCTATTTTTCTTTAATTGCGTCTCTGTATAATACTAAAATAAGAGATATTTATTGCAATAAAATAAATCTTTTTATTCGTAAAAGAATACATTTTTAATTTTTTGTAATTTTTCCCATTATTGAAAGTCATCTTACCCGCACATAGAGGCAAAATGATGAAATTGATACTTAAAAAAATATAAATTTTCACAAATTTTAATATATTTATATATAATTTTTTAATATTTTAATAAGTTTTTTAATTTTTACAGTTTAATCTTAATATTTTCTTAATTTTTAAAATTTTTGGATAACCAAGGCTTTAGTGAATCTGAAAAAATACATTATTCTTTTTAATGTTTGCTGTCATCAAAATCAACAAACATTAAGATCATCTTATCTTTTCTTTTCCCATTTATATATGTATATTAATAATAATATTGACTTTAAAAAAATGTACTTAATATAAAAAAATAGCGATATGTAAAGAAACTCTAGTAGTTATTTATAATTTATTAATAAAAATTTATATGTATTTTACATATAAACAAATGCAAATAATCCTTCAATTTCTTCAGTTATATCATTTTCAATTAATAAAAAATGTTTAACATTTTAAAAAATTACTGACATAGCATATGTATATTCACAACTTTTATAATATTGTATATAATATTTAAAAAGAATAATTAAATTATTTTTATACGATTTTTTTGTATAATAAGACAAGAAAAATAAACATTCCGTCATAATTTCTTTTCTACATACATATAAAAACATTTATTGAATCATATTATTTAATTCAGAGAAACGATTTTATTAATATTTATTATTTAATACAACATAAAAAATATAATAAATTTCAAAGAACTAATATAATTTACAATCAGTCTGAGCGATAAATTGAAAGGATTATTTTCAAGTATTCTTTCTCATGAAAGGTTCTTTATATTGTCGTAATATATTCATAAAAATAAAAATTGAAATCGCGGCAATATAAATGAACTCTAATTGTTTTAATACATAGATATATATTGAAATATAATTAGAAATTAGACTTTAACTTTAAAATAAACAAAATTTGAAAACTAATTTTGTATTCAATTATTTAATCGCCCATACGTACGCTTGTAGAATGTTTAGAAATTTGTGTCAAAATCACCGTGTATATTTAAACTTTAAAATCGCTTTAAACCTTTGTAAGGCAAACTATTCAGTTAAAAAGTGATTAACTCAATGTGTTTCCGCTGTATGTTTTGAATCTTTTGTTTTACATTGCCCTGCAGAGCTACCATTGAACTTTCAACCACTCTCTATCTAGGCAATTGAGTATTCTTGTTGAATCCTCTCAATGTAATGGTCAATTTAACCCTTAACTGGAGTGGTGAAGACATCTCGCGTAACTGGAGCGCACGCGTTCATATATCCATGGTATCATTTATTTTCATATTAAAAATAGCAAATTTGTTAAAAAGAACTTTTTATAAATTCATATATTGATGCATTAAAAAAAGACAAATAAAAGCATTTGAAAAAAAAATATCATACTGGATATAAGAAAGAATACAAATATCAAATAAAAATTCTTGATAGTTCTTTTAACTCAAGAAGACCTCATTATAAACAAAACAAAAATCTTTTAAGATTAATAATAATATCATAACAATAAGATTGGAAACAAGACCGTTTATGTTAAATAACATTACTTTAAATACGAAGCGCCATTACGATTTAAATGTTGAGATGTTGAATTAATATATATATATATTCATATAAATGAATTAATTTCAGAAATGATAATTGTATCGATATGGTTGTCGGACTTTCAACGCAATCAATCTGAAAAAATATTGTCTCGGCCGGGAGTCGAACCCGGATCTCTTGCATTCCGTGCGAGTATCCTGAGCTTTTAGACTACCAACAAGGAAGTCTAAAAACTCAGGATGTTCGCACGGAATGCAAGAGATCCGAGTTCGACTCCCGGCCGAGGTAATATTTTTTGTAATAAGTTTATTACAGTTTTTTAAGATTAATTTGGGAAATTTGGGGGATTATTAATATTTCAGATTGATTGCGTTGAAAGTCCGACAACCATATCGACACGCAATTATCATTCCTGAAATTAATTCATTTATATGAATATATATATTAGTTCAACATCTCAATATTCAGACCGTAGTGGCGCTTCGTACTTAAAGTAATGTTAATATCACAACAATTTTCAGTTTTTCTTTTAAACACACACTGTTTTAATTAAATGTCAATAACCACTGTCCATTAGAGGATTAAACTTATATTAGATTACGCAGAGATTAAAACTATTTTGGAGAAAAAAATTATTTATTCATTGATTAAAAATTGGTATTACAGATTAAAAGTAAATAAAATTGCTTTGAATAGAATAAAAATTGTTCAATCATTTATTAAAAATTGGTGGCAAAGATTAAATTTAAAATTGCTTTGAAGAGATAAAAAATTGTTAAATCATTGATCGAAAATCGAGTCATTGAATGATATATAATAATAGCATGAGCTTAAAACTTCAATTTTTAATCTTAATTGCTATCCCCATTTTAACTTCGATTAATCAAATTTCAATCTTGGAGATGTGATTTCAATTTAATTTCCATCTTCAATGCACAGTTCGATAAATTTTACAATTCTAATTTTCTTACGTTTGAAATTTATGATATAGTCTCTTTTCATTTTCACGAAATAGGAGAAGATAATTTAGGGCAAGAGGCAAATATGACATACCTTTTCATGTCGGCTCCGCATGCTTAGCGTACATCCCTGGTTGGTCTCTCGCGCACCCTCGATCGGAAAGCACCCATTTCCAGGGGAATGTTTTCAAGGGGTTAGTAACGTGGCGACTCGGACAAAAAAATGGCGGCGGCCGATCGAAGGCGGCGGTGGCGGCGTTATGACGCATGCCGTGCGGCGGCGATGGTAGCGGCGATGACGGCGGCGGAGGTGGTGGAGGTGGTGG